GGATTTACGAACGTGTTTTTGGTAGGACGTGAACAAAACAGGTGGGGGAACTAAGGCAACCGATTGGTCACGTTACGATTACTTTCCACAACAGAATATAATATATATATATATATATATATATATTTACCTTTGTCCGTCGCCATTGCCACGTAAAAACAACTGTGACCGGATAGAAGATTTGTTTACGCATTTTATTATATCGGGTTTTGTTTGTTTTTAGCAAATTGAAAATACAAAAACCTCATGAATCCCTTGAGCGTTGGACATATGTTGATTTCTATGTAAACGTCACTGCAAACCACCATGGACTGACAATAACCTACCTTAAAATTCCCAAAAAATTAATTTCGTACAACCACATAAAGTCTTATTACCTTAAAATTTCGTGGAATATACTTTTAATAACTGTGATATTAGTCTTACATTCTATATTTGTATCAAAGCGCATCGGTTACTTTGAAAACTTTAATGTACCTCTCTTAAACTTTAGGCTTTGTGCCAATTTATAGAGGTATAGAAACAAACATGTATCATAAATCCTTGGTTAAATTATTCATTTTCTGAAACTTTTAGTTGCCAAAATCAAAATTGAATTCGGAAGTAATGCTCTCTTCGGCCCAATGCCAATTAAATTTATACCATATAGAGTATCCAGTTATTTTTATAGCAGAAAAGAGTCTATAAGCACTATAATTTAAAAAATATATTATGTTTAATTACACGTTTAGTGAATATTGCTTAAAATTTGAATCGACTTAATTAAAATATTATTTTATATATAAAATTATTTGTACATATACCTACCATAGATATTCAAGCTGAATTAATCACTGAGCCCTATATATATAGGCACCACTCTCCAAGGAGTGCCAACAAAAATTTACTTTTATTTTTATTTATATAATTTCACAATTAAGTGTAAAAAATAATTGTGCCGTCAGATAACTACCAACTTCAAGTGTCTTAATCCGGCACTGAATGTATTATATTATAGTGGTTATACTATAATTATTATAACATATGGCTTATGATGTATATTGTAGAACAATAATTCAACCAATTGTGATTTATAGTATATAACTTAGCGCGGTGCGTCAAGTATTATACATTAAACACATATTTTAAATTTAAGGTGAAAAAAAATTGTGAAATTTTAGTTTGCTTGTATATTTAGTGAATATTATTGATAGCTTTATTCAGATGTAAACCAATCAAAATATTAAAAATAATAAATTAAAGTGAACATAAAAACTTTATTTACTAATAAAAAATAATAAATAAGTCTAGGGACTTAGTTTAAATACATAATATGTGGGAATGCTTAATTTCAAGTGAATTTTTAAATTTGTGTTTAATTGTTCATTAAATATCTTAAAAAATGTTTTATTAAATTATAAATATAATAATTTTAATAGGTTGTTCAATTTACTAACCATACAACAGTCTAAAAAACTATACATATTTTATTTGTATACTATCGCATAAGTACATAGTATTTAACTACAATGTAAACTTTAAATCTATTACAAATTTTAGAGCATATTTGATAATAATTTCTTTAAGTAATAGAAGTCCCTAACCTTTATAATAATTAAAATTATTGGTGTTTCAATGATTTAAAAAAAAAACAATCTTACATTATTGTAAAGCTGAAAAGATTAAATCACTAAGTATTTATAATCTAATACTTGAATGAATAAATTATAATGCAATTAAACCTTTTACATCCGGACAATACTTATAGATATAAGATTCATAATTTAATTAACCAAATTATTAAATCATATAGTAGATACTATATAAAATTTCTTAAACTTCCAAAAGGTATATATTATCATAACCCGTATAAAACGTATCATTATACGTCATCACTTAAAGGTTTTATTAGCACAATACATAATACATAATTTATTGACAGCTTTCATAGCCTACCGTTCATATAACTATGTAATTTAATTATTAAATTTATAAATCTATTTAGAAATATTTAGTAATTTACGGTGTAACAATTCCATCCGAATTTCGAAAAATATCACTTTATAGGTACTCTCATTTAAATAGTTAAGATGTACGAGTATATTGTATAAATTTATCAACTAGTAAACACTTGCTATCATTTTTTTCTTTTGTTCGGGTGCGATTGACAATGGAAAATCGGATGATTTAGCAGGTTTACATCAGGGTTGAACGAGTTTTGAAATAGTAAAAAACACGCCTGTCGTATATAGTTTAATAATATAATGACAATGATGTGACGACCGCGGGGAACAAGCTTATATTATTATAAATCTGTTTATAGTCGTCTGGACAATGGAAACACACCGTGTTAAACACTGTCGGATGATACATTCGGTAACGATGACACACCAAAAAGAAATACTATACACCAGTGCATTGTACAATATATTATATAAATATACACACGCAAAACGGGATGTTATTTATTTATATTCAATTAACTTTAGACGGGATTTCGAGCGCGAGTAACCCTCATGAATACGCCACGGGTGCATTCATAGAAACTACAGTGATACGGTAACGAGAGAAAGAAAGAGAGAGATAGATAGAGAGACACGGTCAATTAATCGCACCGAAAAACCCGGCAAAGGTCTACACGGTACATTGGCCACCGGACGTAAAGTAGTGAGTGAAACACATCTGTTGAGTTATACGACGAATATCATCGCGAGCGCGTCGGAGGAAATAATAACAAATACGACATGTTCGTTTCAAATAGATACTCATCACATAATATGCAACTATCGTCATTATCATACGCAAATATGAGACATTATAATATTTTGTAAAATAATGTATATAATTACTTATAAATAAATTGCATGTCATGAATTATTATTAGTTATAAATTATTTATATTATAGTCAACTAAAAATTTAATTTATAAACTGTATAATTTTTTACGGTGTATATTTTATTCATGTATAGACGATATTAATGTTACCAATTACCATTATAATATGATAAGGAAAACTTTTTGATTAAAAACACCTTTTTACTTTTCATTTATACGTTTTTTGTTAAAATTTACATTAAATTATTTCATCACACATAATTATAATTTATAACTATAAGAATTTAATAAACTACTCGTATATTCACGTCATCATATATCATATTTGTGAAAAAAAAAATACTTTAATATGTGATTTCATTCGAAACTTTATTATAAAAACTCAGATAAAAATAAATGACATTATATCATGATTTAAATTACCTACTAATTGATAATTATTTTTTAAATTAAACAAATGAATTCTTAAATATTTTAAAATGCAATTATTTCACGTTTAAACATATTATGGAAAATATAACGTACTACATCAAAAATAACGTTACGCAACTGTAAAACAGAATTTAAACGATAATCTAAGAAATTATAGTAGTATAATAATTAAAAAAGTTAAACAATGTATATTTAGGTCAAAGCCCTAAAGAGTCTTTTATATAACTTTTAAATACTTGGTTTAAATTAAATGTATAAACGTTTTTACTTTATTAGGTTGTATACAAATATTATGTAGTCATGTTTGAACAACTTAAATATAATATATAATTAAGAATATTTAACTCTGACAAAAAAAAAGAAAACTAAAGAAAAAATTATACAAACACTCAAACTTTAAGGTTAGTATATGTATATACAACATAATATGTACCTTCATAATTATTTAAACAAATTTATTATATATAAAACGAATGATAATAATCATATGAGAAAGGTGCAGGTTAAGAGGGGTAGAAATTTTAAAAAAAAAAGTAAAAAGAGAAGTAAATAGACATGTCGCCATCGGCCTTTGCACGTGCGTTTATTTAAAAGGCCGATGCCGCCTCCATCAACGAATCAAAGGTCCTGCATGCGCGCGTGTTTAAACGGAACCGAACTTTATTGGATTTAAGAGGTGGAAAGTAAACATCACGTTTACATTTAAACATACACACACACGCACACATATACACACATATATATAATATCTAATGTCGAAGTACTTTATATATATATATATAATACTAGTAGTAGGTTTTTGTGAAGCAAGGCCGAACAACACTAAGAGTATAGTGTGGTGGTGTATACACAAGATGCAGAGAGGGTGATAGAAAAACAAAAAAAGGGGAAAAACGAGAGAAAAAACAATATATACCCGCGCATCTCTGCGAGTGTAGGACGTACACTCTCTTTGCACAACGGCAGCAGCAACAGCAGTTATAAGTATACACAAGACCCACGGACTTTTGCACGAAGTTTATCCGCCAAGGGGTTTTGCGCTGTTTGTTTAGGACAAAAAGATAACCTTTTAAAAACGGACCGAATACTAGCGGCAGCGCTTCAGTTGATTAACAGTGGGTAAAGAGTGGTGTGGTTGTTGATGGTAGAGGTATGTAAAGACGGACTTTTACTGACGCTATTCTGCCATATGCAATATATTATACATACATAATACATGTGACTATGCGAATACATATATAAATATATATTTATAATGTTTATATGTACTATACGAATGTTTGAAGTCGCTCAACTTTATATAGATATTATATAGTGTTCTTGTTAAAAAAGTTTCAAATAAGCTTTGAATGTCTTCCGTAAGGACAAGTAACGCTACATGATAACCTATATAATATATGCCATATAAACTTTAAATCTATATATATGAACAGATTTTGATTTAAAATCATGAAATATCAATCGGTATGATCGGAATGTACTATTGTAAAGGATATAAAAGTAAATAACCTAATGTATACAGTATAATTACCATAATAATTAATCATGTACCTTTTCAGTTGTTTTTTGGAAGTATTACAAATCCTTTATAAGTTCTGTCAATTTGATACTAACAATTATTATTCGTCAACCACAACCATAATTAATTATAATGGCATGTCGTAGTATCTATACCATATTACCAAATATATAAAATATAGATTTACAGCTGTGCAGTGGGTGACCGTGATACTAATTGAAGTTATTTTTACAGGTGTGGTTTCAAAACCGTCGGGCGAAATTCCGAAAACAAGAAAGGCTGGCCCAGCAAAAATCGTCGCAATCCAGCAGCAGTAGCACGGTAGATGCGACCAGCATAAAAACCGAGCCGAAACAATGTGGTCAATCAAAAGACGGCAAGCCTGGCACACCGTCCACGCCTGGTAGCATATCTTCGAACAATGGTTCTACTGACATGAAATCAGTCAATGGATCAGGTAAAATTTAAATAAAAATTTGATAAATTTTAGCGTAAATTTACATACCACAAATTTCGTCAGTAAAATGTATATAAAATAACAATGCCAAATTAATACGTATATATTTATTATATATCATCATAATGATTATATAAAAATTACTTATTTGTTGTGTAAATCGTGAGTGAATAAAACAAACAAAATATAATATAGATTTACAGTGATGTAGTTTTTAGTTTTACGGGAATAATAAATAAAGAGACAAAGAATTGTAAATTGTTTTAAGGTGTCTCTCCCTACAACATAAATATATTTTTTTAATCATTTTATAAAATAATATGAGGCATTTCAACATTTTTTACTTTACAATAGGTAGCATGTATAGCTTTCGTCGGTCGACTAAATTATTTGAGTCAGATTTCCAACCATAAACCAAGGGCTTGTACTTCACAGAATTGGATATTGAGGTAGTTATAGCAGGACTTAGTGAATTAAGAACAAAAAAGAATTAGGTGTAAAATGAAAGAAAGAAAAATAAAACTACCTGTAAGCATTGGTTTGTTTGAAATTTTTGAATAAATTTTAAAATCGTATTTAAATCAAGTTCCAATATGAAGCCGAATGTCATAAAACTGGCTAAAAAGAATAAAATAAATTCAAAATAGAATACAAAATAAATACGTAGATTGATGATGAAAAAATTATAAATTTTATATATTGTTGTAAAGGATAATGTGTCACAAAAATATAATTTATAGAAATATAATTATTCAATATAAAAGGATTGAATGTTCTTGAATGCTCTATGTTTAGAACATCAGCTCATAACATAAAAAAATTATACACCCTCCAATATAACAGAGTTCGAAAAAAAACAAACAAAAACGGAGTAATAATAAACGCGTATTTAAAATAATAAATAAGTAATAACATAATAGTAACATAAGGTAATGGAAGTATGGGACCAATTATAAACTGAATGTTAAAAACAAAAATAACATAATATATTAATAATAATACATGGACAAGCATATTATGAATAAACATAATTTAGGTGTAAATAAATCCTTATTATTAGTCATAATAATATGCCAAGCGTATGGTATAATATAATAGTGATATAGTTTTGTGATTTCGGTAAAAATCCATTTATGTAAGCGATAAAATTGAACTATAACATATAATATGTACCACGTGTGTTTAAAACGTATTTAGAATCAAAAGTGTGCAGTCAGGTGGCAAATTTACTGCATACTTCAATCGGCTACTGGTTGCGCGCATACGGAACTTTATCTGTAGTGTATATATATATATACATGATACATAGGAATAATGCGATATCAGGGGTAACGGACGGAACGCAGCAACAGGGTTATGACAAATGGACATAGTTGTGGTAGAAGATCGAAAACGTACAAAATGATGTTTATAATATATCATTATTCTACGATATTTTCGCGGTATCGCCGTAGCAGTAGATGGGCGGTGGAACGATAGAGCCGCAGACGCGAATAGAGTGGAAAAAAATCGTTTCTCGAGGGTTCGGGGTCTAACTACTCCGACGCAGATGACTGATTATTTTTGTGGGACCGACGGGATAAATCTGAAAAGTAGTATATAAAGACGTCGGGTGTACGAGAAGCTAGTACGTCGGTAACGGGGGGCAATGGTGTGGGCGGTGGGCAATAGCGGGATGAGAGATGGTATGGTATATAAATCCGAAAAAGAAAGGCGAGTCGATCACACACACACACACACACACACACACACACACACACACACACACAC